TAATATATCTTCAGAAGGATCAATGTGAGTGCAAAGAAATAGGGGAAGGATAGCCATTTTCACAAAGTCCAAAACCCTCACCTGGACGAAGGTAAACTGGACCAGGCTGTACCTCCTCCGTCCAACGGTGTCGATTGCCTCTCCGTCGTCCCAGAAGAGCTGTCCTGACGCCCTCCTGTTCATTCCTATGGCCACCAGCGCCCCGAGCGGCTCCTTCCTCGACAGGTTGGTGTTGAGAGCTGGTCGCTGCGTCGGCAGGATGTGACCCCCACGGATGTGTAGGGGGATCACGTCCCTGGGAGCGGACACCGTCACGTACTCCCCTGGCCACTCCACCGGCTTTCCCTGCGGACGTGTCGTTAATCATTGCCGGGAAGATACTCTTACTGTTTGGTTTCTAATGGGGCGCTTATCTGGGGTCCCTGAGGAGATAACTAGGATGCTCAAGTTTCTTGGGGGATTTTGGGGATTTAGCTTGGGAATCTGGGGGGGATAACTGAAGTACATGGGCGGGTTGGCAAGAATTTATTAAGTCCATCTGGGATTCAGTCTAGTCTGGGAAGTTAATTCGGTTCTTTAAGGGTTCGGCCAGAACGAGTTTGTTGCATGATAGAGAATGTTAAGAGCAGGGAAGGTTAGTCTTGGAGAGAATCATCATAAAGGGAGGATCCCAGGACTGATGCGTCATGTTATGGAAGGTCACATATCGCTGTTATAACGGTTTCAGTGTGGCATGAAGTTTATATTACGGATCACTATGGCATAAAGAAGGACATGGTTTTGGGCCTAAGTATGGCATACAGAAGACAATGTTGTGGGACATCAGTACGGTATACAGAAGGATGTGGGACATCAGTATGGCATACAGAAGGATGTGGGACATCAGTATGGCATACAGAAGGATGTGGGACATCAGTACGGTATACAGAAGGATGTGGGACATCAGTACGGTATACAGAAGGATGTGGGACATCAGTACGGTATACAGAAGGATGTGGGACATCAGTATGGCATACACAAGGATGTGGGACACCAGTACGGCATACAGAAGGATGTGGGACACCAGTACGGCATACAGAAGGATGTGGGACATCAGTACGGCATACAGAAGGATGTGGGACATCAGTACGGCATACAGAAGGATGTGGGACATCAGTGCGGCATACAGAAGGATGTTGGACATCAGTATGTGTAATATGTTTACTGAACCTCAACATCCAGTGGGTGAGTGACTTACAAAAGGTATCGATGCATAGAGAATGTGTTCCAACACTGTAAACTTGGAAAATACTTTGATGCAGAAGACTGTGTTGATTTTATTAGTACACGCTAAAGGTGACTAGCCACCGAGAACACAACTTTTTGCCTCGGAATAATATTTGACCTCCAATGACCTCCAAATCCAATGGCGGATTTTTGGAGATTTCCGCTTTCCTTGTAAATTGTTCCACAAGATAACCATGTACATCCAGTTATTATGATAACCTGTTAGATAAAAATCTCCAAGATTTTTTAAGGTGTTATGAAAATTTCAGTTGCTTTAAAAACTCACAAGATGATGAATCAAAGTTTAAATTCTTTAAAAGTGCGCTTGAAGCGATTGGTCCTTCAGATGATTTTGTAATTCCCCATTTCAAGATTTACAAGATTTTGTAATTCCCCATTTCAAGATTTACAAGATTTTGTAATTCCCCATTTCGAAATATTTATTTGTGAACTTCTTTGTTAAAATCTACTTAAATTTTGCCTTCTAGTAAATGTTATTATTTCAACACAAATTTTAGGGAATTTAATTAAATATTATTATATGTAAAGTAAATTATAGTTATGGCTGAGTGATTGAACAAATATAATTTGGAAGTTTCTGATATATGAAAACTTTCTGAAGTTATTGCCCCCATTTTTTTGTATTTGTTTTCCATATTCCTTTGCTAAAATATACCAATAGCCGTGAGGGAAGTAAACAACGACCTGACTCACCGTATAGTAGTCGTACCAATAGCCGTGAGGGAAGTACACAACGACCTGACTCACCGTATAGTAGTCGTACTAATAGCCGTGAGGGAAGTACACAACGACCTGACTCACCGTATAGTAGTCGTACCAATAGCCGTGAGGGAAGTACACAACGACCTGACTCACCGTATAGTAGTCGTACTAATAGCCGTGAGGGAAGTACACAACGACCTGACTCACCGTATAGTAGTCGTACCAATAGCCGTGAGGGAAGTACACAACGACCTGACTCACCGTATAGTAGTCGTACTAATAGCCGTGAGGGAAGTACACAACGACCTGACTCACCGTATAATAGTCGTACTAATAGCCGTGAGGGAAGTACACAACGACCTGACTCACCGTATAGTAGTCGTACCAAAAGTCATGGGGGAAGTAGACACGTCTCTCCACCGCCCCAGACTTGAGGACGGGGGAGATCATGAAGGCGGGCCCCCACAGGAACTGGTCATCTACTCCCAGGGTCCGCCGGTCCAGCGGGAACCTGGAAATGGCGGCATTTGAATCATTTTAAAATGGCGTTCCAAAAGCCACAAAGAATCTGGAATGAAAAGTGCATGGAGAGGTATGCTAAAACACTACAAGCATGTTCACTACATTATTTGTTAGCTGAATATTGAGCCAACTGAACTTGACTCCTTGATGTAACCTCACCTCCTATGGTAGACTGATGAAGAGGAACTTAAAGTTTAGAACGGCTCATCCCCACACCACCAAGTTAGCATTATTGACCTTCATATCTTGATATATTAATTTCCCACGATGGTGTACAAATCTCCCTTATTAGTGTGCAAATTTCTTTTCTTGGTGAACATATTTCTTATGTTAGCATGTCAATTTCCCGCGTGAGAATATGCAGAGATTAAATACCAGAAATTCAGTTCGAGACATGGAAATGCAGCCTCCGAAACATTTATGTAATTTGTTAGAAACAATGGAATGTTATATTCTAGGAATAGTGATATAAAGGATAAAAATGACTAGATTACAGGAAACAATTATTTGGTGGAAATTCAACATCGAAATCCACAACACTAAATTTGTTCAGTGATAAATTGAATCGGGAGTCATTGAGTGTGGGATAGCGAGTAAAAATATTGTTACTCGCGTCTTAAAAAGCACTCTAGATCATTCAGTTGGGAATATTCATCTTTAGTGGAAGTTGCGAGTGAATATCCTTTTTAAGTGACTAAAATGTGTGATGCCCCTATTAGAAATAAAAATAAAATAAAATAAAAACCCTTTGAGATTGGGGATTTGATAAATCTGATTGGTTAAATGACCAATCCCCCTACCCCCCCTGAATGTGAGGTGGTGGGGTGGGGGTGGTGGCTTCTACTCACCTCTATTGCCTGCTGTAGCAGTACACATGCGAAATATGCCCCATATATGTCAGCTGTGTATGGAGACCTATACATTCCCTTGTGTTCCTTCATCTGGGAGTTGACCCTACCCCAGCGTGCTTCAGTCCCTGGTGACGGAAAACCCGACACCATTTACTAATATTAAATACAATATGCAGACAATATTGCTGCTGTTGTGCAAATAAACATGTTAACCCATAGAAAATGTAGCCTATAGTTGAATTTTCCGTCAATAGAAATCGGGATATCATTGCCACGTCGCTATTAAATTTTCCAGCTATTCTTCTGGGAATTATTCCTAATACAGCAGTCTCGGGACTGTAAACATCATAAAAACATTTCACTTGAATTAACTTATTGGTACTAAAATTGAGTTAATGTAGGCACTCTCTAAACACTTCTTGACGCATCTGGAGTACAAGGGATGAGTCAGTGGGAGGGAAGCCTCAGAGTCAGTTATTATTACTGTTAGACCAGGTCGCTGGAGCAGAACAGTGCCAATATACTCCCTTGGACGAAGTGTTATGGAGAGTAAATTAATGCTTCTTCCAGCATCAACACGCAGTCAACATCTAAACAAGGGAAGTGTCTTTCTGAAATCTTATTTTGTCATCCTTCGCCAGTAATGTTAGGTAGATAGGATTATTTTCTGGTTAGAACGAAGGGCAGCGACCAACCCAGAGTGAATAATAATCTCACCTCTTTATGTTGGAATATTTCCTCTAATATAGCTGTCATATATATATATATATATATATATATATATATATATATATATATATATATATATATATATATATATATATATATATATATATATATATATATATATATATCAGATTCAGCATAGGATTACTGCTATTATTGCAAGTGCCGTTTGACAGAAACAATTTGAAGAGGAAGCAGAACAGTTACTTGGTACACCAGAACATGGTGTTGATGCCAGCCTCAACCACGAGGATTATTTGGTGTCATCATCTTGGTTTATACCTGGTGGACCAGGCCTGCCATACGATAAGATAAGGCCTTCCTATTTAAATTACTAATATATTAATAGTCTAATACTGTAGTGAATGTTAGTCAATTAATTTTGATTGACTACACATATAATATAATAACCCTCCTGGTTGATACCTGGTTGATGGGGTTCTGGGAGTTCTTCTACTCCCCAAGCCCGGGCCGAGGCCAGGCTTGACCTGTGAGGCCTAATGTGTAAAGGAGTCGATTTGTGAGAATTTGCAGAAATATAGTCCACTCCATCATACCATTTGCTATCGAAATATATAAATTAACGTCAATATAAATTATATATAAATACATATAAATCAATAAATATAAATCTCACAGGGCAGTTCCCCACACCTAGGAGGGGGAAGAGGGTGGACATACTTCTTTAGTGAGGAAACGTGGGGTAAAACTGGAGGTTCAGTGCGGCCCACCTGAACCAATCAGCTTGTCTGGTTAGTCCGCCTCGGGTCCAGTGGGCATCGTGGGGATGGTATCCATATCAGTCCCTGGGATATTATTTGGCCCCTCATTGGTTGCCTGCGAATACTGTTCCGGTTATGCTTGAGGTTGTTTGGCCGTGTGCCTGTATGGGTGTGTTATGAACCGCATACACCAGTATGACTGGTATACGTTATGATCATACCTTATGGGGTAATTATGCAGTGTAGCCTAATATCACTATTATTGTGGATATATTATTTTGATATACCATTATGTGTATACGGTATTGAGTCCTATGTATTATTGTATATGACATGACTTATGTATCACTGTATGTATTATATGTATATATATATACATGACTTATGTATCACTGTATTTATTATATGTGTATATATACATGACTTATGTATCACTGTATGTATTATATGTATATATATATATCCATGACATGTATCACTGGCATATGTACCATTATATATCTATTAATAGGAATGATATTAAGTGCAGTAGCTTACTGTCACTTGATTAAGATTGTTATACCTTGTATTGTGAGGATAAACTTATAGACAGGGTTTTGAGATTATGTTATGTATATTAAATTTTACTCGTATTATTTTATAACTATGTATTGATGGATATTGTATTAGGGAAGAGTGTTAACGGTTGATTTGGCTTAAATTCTTTTGAATCTTCCTTTCCTCCTTTGGCTGGCGACTGAGATCAAGTATTACCAACTCTATGAGATGGTTCTCTGTTTGTATCTTTATATATTAGTATATACTTCATTGTGTGCTTATATGCTTATATCACTTATATTGTGAGTTGTATATTGGTGTACTCCTTAGTTCTGCGTGTGCTCAAGCCCCCGTTGACATGTAAAATGGTGTGATATGAGTTATAATGTTTGAAAGAGATGTGACGGATAAGATGCTGAGTTGGCTCCAGTGTGTACTGCGGCCTCAGCGCCCGTCGCTAGCTCACTGGTCTGAGGTCATTGGTTCAGGGCGAGCGCGCTCGGTCCGACCCCTGTTCTTTGGTGTAATTATTGGTCTACGGACCCTGTATTCATATTGATACTGCACTAAGAGTACTGTATGGTGATGGATCATGACTAACCAAAGTATTCTTCTTTCTTGGGAGCTTTGTGTAACATGTGGTAGGTGACTTTATTTTGTCTTAGCAGTTTTATGAATATACATGGACGTACCTAGCATCCTTCATTGGATGTAGAGTGGTGGAGTAGCTGAGGACTTTATTGTGATTTTGAGTGTCCTGGTTGAGACTGACTCCTCCCTCACTTAATTATGTGTCACCTCCATACTGTATTCATGACCTTGAGCATACTAGGAACTAGTCACATATATTAAGGTGTTCTGCTTAGATCTGCCCAGTAAACTGGTGATTTTTAATAGATTTTTTCTTAACACTAGACAACATTATTGTATATCAGGTGACTTTATTGTGATTTGGGAAGGTAGTACGTCGCCAGCGATGCTGTGGAACTTGCAGATACGCCAGGGTGAGGGAGAGCAAAGTCGTTATGTTGCTTTCTTTTTGTTAGCTTCTATTCACGTCTCTCCTCAGACTCGTGGGGCGGGCGACCAGGCCCTGGAGTCGGATTACATAGGAAGATCGGGTTTCATAGGTCCCGGCTTGTTGGACCCAGTCCAAGGCTACAAGTGGTTAGACCACTTGTAGCCTTGGAATCGAAGTGGTTAAACTACCACTTTGATTCTTTTCCCCTTCCTCTGCCTCTTCCCTGCCAGGGTCGACATTAGTGTCCTCTGTGATGTCTACCACGTTGCATGGAGTGACCAGTTCCTGGGTAGTTACTACGGTACCTTGTGCTTCCCTCCTTCCAGGAGGCCCGATACATTGTGCCCAATGTTAAACATAACATTTCCTGTCACCCGGTCTCATCCTCCTGTCACCCGGTCTCATCCTCCTGTCACCCGGTCTCATCCTCCTGTCACCCGGTCTCATCCTCCTGTCACCCGGTCTCATCCTCCAGTCACCCGGTCTCATCCTCCTGTCACCCGGTCTCATCCTTCTGTCACCCGGTCTCATCCTCCTGTCACCCGGTCTCATCCTCCTGTCACCCGGTCTCATCCTCCTGTCACCCGGTCTCATCCTCCTGTCACCCGGTCTCATCCTCCTGTCACCCGGTCTCATCCTCCTGTCACCCGGTCTCATCCTCCTGTCACCCGGTCTCATCCTCCTGTCACCCGGTCTCATCCTCCTGTCACCTGCTCACATTCTCCTACTCCATCTGAAAAGATTATGTCTATCTCGGAATATCTTTATGCGATCGTTTCTGTGTCTGTTAGCCAGATACGCAAACTTGGTTCCTCCCCTTCTATCCTCTTATAGGGTAAGAAGGCAACAGTACTACACCCCCCCCCATGCCCCCTTGTCTCCATTGCAGGGTCATTTGGCCCCTCCTTTGTTAGTAGTCCCACTGCCCGTGGTTCCTTCTCTGACACTGACCCTTTGTCCTGAGTGTGCCGTTGTTTCTATTCCTCCTCGGCCTGTCCTTCTTTGCTATCCGTGCCCACTACCTTCATCCTCACCGGACCCCTGTCGACCCGCCTGTGTTCCATCATGTTCCTCTCCCAATACCGTCGTCACTGCTGGGTTTGCCCATGGGCCCCCAACCATGATTTCTCTG